GAAAAATATACATCTATTTGGAGGAAAAGTAAAAACAAAATACAATAAACATAGAAGGGGACGCTAGGGTCTGCGGACGTCTGCAAGACTACCTTGGGTCTCCTAAACTGAAGGCAGCACCCTCGAACTCTGATCAGCCACTAGCTCTAAAATCTGCATAGGAAGTGCAGAGTGCACTATTAGTACAACCGACCCCATGTACTAGTAAGTGCCAACCTAACCTCGACGAACTAGTGAAGAGGCTACGGTGGGGCATACAACATTTACAACCTGCAACAATTTATACTAAACAAAAGGAAATTCGAAGTGTGTTAAAGTAATAACTGGCATTAAGTAAATCCGGAACACAACTGTTCCATTAAATTTTCAGCTATAACCAATCCTTAAGGGTGTTCCAGCATCACACTAACAGACCACAACAGATAATGAACACATAACAATAACTGATGTGGCGCGCATCCCGATCCCATTATATACACAACAACATAATCAATATTCACTTTTTATTCTTTTTTGTTGCGGCGTACAACCCGATCCCACCTGTTCACCCTTATTACTCCTTGTTGCGGCGTGCAACCCGATCCCATATAATATTGTTGCGGCGTAAAACTCGATCTTATATAATAATATTGCGGCGTGCAATCCGATACCATATACAAATCAACACCAATCACAAAATTGAAGACAAGTGTTCGCAGATTTAAGCTAAATCCTCCAATGTACTTATACTTCAATTCACGCAACAGGATATCACTACGATTAAACAACTTCACTAGTGTAATCTACTCAGCGAGACCAACCAAGGTGTACCACGGGGCACCCAAAAACCAATAAGGACCAACAGAATAGTAAAACGAAACTAGGAAACAATTGAATACTTCGATAAGGAGAGCAATGATTAATATGAAGCAATTAGACATGGAAGCATTTATGAGCAAGTGTAGACATGTGATTTTTGACCCTCCCCAAGATTTTTTATATTTTAGCGTAAAATATTTATTTTAGGCCTAATATAGCTATTTCAACTCATTGTTACTCTTTTATTTTATTTTATTACAAAAAATTAAAAATTATAAAAAACTAGTTTCATTAATATTTTGTAGTCATTTTTAATCTTGAAAAATACCAAAAAAAAGTTTTGTTTTAGTATTCAGTCTCATTTTAATAGCTATTTTACTTAAGTAGGACTAATTAATAAATGAGATCATATTTTAATCTTGTTCGCGAGAAAAGAATAAAACTTGGGCTCGAGCCACCCATTTTTAGGCCAAATTTGGACCTAGTCCATAATTGTCAAGCCCATAATTCCTAGGCTCATACCCCCTTAACCTAAAAACCCTTCTATATAACCAAAACTAGTCTTAAAATAACCCTAGACTAGACTTACGAGTTCAGCCGTTTGGACACAAGGGAGGCTTCTTCATCTTCAACCAAAAACCATAGGCTGAACCCTAGAAAATGTCAGCCAACTCCCACCCATAAACGACCACCCAATCACCGAACAACAGCAGTCGCTGCCTGTCAGTCAACTCGCTGGAAAAACTAGAAACCCACTGCCCTAGCCCCTTCGCCTGAAAACCCGTCACGCCGCACCATCTCTCTCTCTTATCGAACCAGCATCAGACCTCTCCTAAAGAACTAGTTGTCGGACCTCCTCATTACCCCCATCGCCACCCCAGTACCCTCCCACGGAAAAACCTGGCCGGACTGGTTGGTTTTTCGGTCAAAGCCACGTCCTTCGCCGGTGACCATACCACCTTTCTGGGAGTTTTGTGTTTTGCCACTGCTTTGCCATATTTTCCGGCGAGTTTCGAGTTCGTCGAGGTCCCTGGTGCAAGCTTTCCGTTTAGTCGTTGAGTTGGGTAGTATTTGAGTGATATCGGCTTTATTCAATGGAGTCGCTGGAGCGGTCGGACGCTACTTCTGTATTGTAAACTATCATTTTGAAGAAGAAAATTGAAACAAAACAGAGTTGTGCTTAGGATATTCGAGTTTGCCGTTGAGGTCGTCATCGAGTTTTTCGGTCAATAAAGGTCCTGCTAGAATCACCGACGTATGTTCCGGTCGGGCGTTGGTCAGTTGTTGGCTTTCCGTTCAAGGTCCGTTGGGATCCTTCTCACTATTTTAGATTCCTCTGTACTAGAAGACTTCAGTTTTTTTAATTAAAAGGTCAGTTCCTTTCTTCACGGCATTATTCCATTTTCAAATAGTTTTTGATGGACTTTATTATGCACTACTGCTTCATTTTCATGTATGTTTGTTTTAGAATAACGTATATCATTAGTAGTATATTTGTTTAATGGGAGTTTAAGAATGATGGAATGTAAATAAGTAAAGTAGATATATTGAATTGGAAATGCAAAAGTTTGTAGGAATAGTTTGGTTGTTTCTGTGAATTAACTTTCATTGTGTGGAATCAGAATAAATATATGCCTTAATAAACTAATTTGAGACATAGGTTTAATGTTAAAACATGTAAGAATGATAAATAGACTATAAAAGATAACGACGATACTATTCTGTTTGGATTAAATCACATTAGTTTGGATTTGTGTCATAGTTTAATTACATATAGGCCTAATAGGTGGAAACGATCATTTCTGATAAATTAATAACATCAAAAAATGAATGTGCGTAGTTGCTTTAGGCGAGTCATTTAATAATATTACCTTTCTAAACTCGGGTGCGCATTTCATGTGACCCAAATCAAAATCCTAAAACGTTGACTAAAATGTGTTTAGGATTACGGGTGTATTTCATGTGGCGCGATCCAAAAGCACGTTTTAAATGACGTTCAATCTTCTTCAAAAATTAATTAAAAGTGGTCAAAAGTTTAAAATGGCATCATAGGTTAAAACTTGTTTCTAAAATCAGATAATTAAGCCGAATATAACAGTTAAGCGACCATGATAGAACCACGGAACTCGGGAATGCCTAACACCTTCTCCCGGGTTAACAGAATTCCTTATTCGGATTTCTGGTTCGCGGACTGTTAAACAGAGTCAATCCTTTCCTCGATTCGGGATTTGAACCGGCGGCTTGGGACACCATAAATTATCCCAAGTGGTGACTCTGAATCTTTAAATGAAATAATCATGTTTTGATTGTCCTTTAATTGGAAAAACTCCCTTATATGTACCCTTCCGGGGGTGTAGGTAAAAAGGATGTGTGACAGCTTTGGCGACTCTGCTGGGGATCGAACCCAGAATCTCTGGTTCAGGGTTCAAGAATTCGAGCTTAGAATAATTGTTATAGTTGGCTTTATCCATTATCTGAATTTGTTACATGATTTGGGCCTAATGTGCTAATTGATTGCTTTTACCGCTTTGATATTCCGTGAACTGTATATAAACTGTTGCGAAATCCCTCTTCTCTCTGAGTCTTCTAAATCATGAAGAAGTGTGCACTTCGTGTGACTTCTTTTCTGTTAGAGTCATATCCCAAATTTAGAATGAGGTTCGGACAAGTTGCAAAGCCGGTGAAGCTTCTGTATTCCCAGTACGCTGCCCCCCCTCGACTCGAGCTGTCCGCTCGGGTAAGCCAGGTCTAGAACAATAAACCTAGGTTTTGAACCTAGAATAACTCAGCTTCATGTTGGATCCCTAGTAGGAACGCTTGTTTGCATCATGTGCACTTGACTTAGAGGACTCAACACAGGGGTTGGGTCCGTCTAGGATAGGTATACCCCAAAAAATAAAAGACCATCCTGATGCATCTTATGTGTTACATGTTGCATTTATTCAAGGGTAAAAGGGTGAAGTGTGAAGATAAAGCAAGTGGGGCCTAATTATGTTTTATGTTACATTTTGTTAAGAAAAAAAAAACTTGAAAAATTCAAAAAAAAATTGTACTTTTTCATCTTATGTGCTACATGTTGCATTTATTCAAGGATAAAAGGGTCATTTGGCGGACCAATGATAGCTGCGGGTAAATGAAGAAATGAAAAAAAATAATGAAAAAAGAAAGAAGAAAGAAAAAAAAGAAAAGAGGGGGTGAAGTGTGAAGATAAAGCAAGTGGGGCCTAATTATGTTTTCTGTTACATTTTGTTAAGAAAAAAAGAGCTTGAAAAATTCAAAAAAAAAATTACTTTTTCATCATTTTTCAAAAATCAAAAATCAAAAAAAAAGGAAAAATCCAAAAAAAGAGTTTACATGTTTCATCATTTTTCAAAAAAAACAAAAAAAGACAAAAAATATGTTTTCTCTGAATTGCAAAAAATATGTTTTCTCTGAATTGGTTATTTTTTTTAAAAAAATTCTCGTCCGTATCCAATCTGCCCGAAGTACGCATACCTGATTCTCGTCTTTTGGGGCGTGATACGTAAGCAACCCACATAGGGTGCGATCTTCCTAGTGAGTTTAACTCGCCGGAGTAATTCTTTCTGCCAGCAAAAGACCAATTTAACTCGACGAAAATTCGCCAGATTTTGGTGGGTTGTTAGGAATTGGTAATGTTAAAGGAACCAATCTACCTTATAGCTTGTTTGGATGGTTGTTACCCGTTGTATCCTATTGTATTGTTATCCCAAAATAATATTTGTTTTGATTGTTTCATTAAAATTGGTTGTATTGTGTTGTTAAATTCGTTGTTCCGGAATAATAAAAAATCTCCTTTTCTTAAACAACCGATTTGGTGTGGTGAGATTGTTTTTTATTTTTCTTTTCAATTATGCCCTAACTTATTACTCCACAATGCTATTTTACTTTTTACTTTTTTTCCTATTTTAACTCCAAATCTCCAATCAATAACCTACTTTGTTTTTGTTTTCCAGAACTTCTGCCGCCAACGTTAAAGGTGTTTTTCCAGAACTTATTACTCCACAACTTTTGCCGCCTTTTTGTTTTATTTTTTCTCCTAATTTGCTTTTAACTCAATTCTAATTAGTTGTGCTCCTTTGTTTTGTTTTCTTCTGTCTCGCTCCTATGTTCTGCTTTCTTAAGGTATTTTGCCTTCTTTTGTTTTATTTTTTCTCCTAATTTGCTTTTAACTCAATTCTAATTAGTTGTGCTCCTTTGTTTTGTTTTCTTCTGTCTCGCTCCTATGTTCTGCTTTCTTAAGGTATTTTGCCTTCTTTTGTTTTATTTTTTAAAATTATTTTTATGCATATTTTTTGATAAATTTAATATTTAAACAATTGAGGGTATTTTGGTCAACTTATCAGTTACAGTACAGTCAAATCAAACAGTCAAATATTATTTAACAATAACAAACAATACAATCTATCTAAATATTATATTTATAAAACGATACGGTACAACATGATACAATACAATACAATACATTATAAAACAACGGGGAACAATGATCCAAACAGAGTGTTAAGTTAATTTCCAGAGGCGGACCTACATATATGGTAGAGGGGTCACTGGACCCCGTAAACATTGGAAAGAATTCTGTATATATATGTATTATATGTATATATACCTTGAGAAATGACTTTATATTTAATTAGGCACCCTAAAGCACAAAAGCATATTGGGGGCATTGGTCAAAAGTGCTACTTACCTTTGCTTCCGTGCGGGATGTCCTAGTTTTGAATCTGGACTCCCTCACCTTCCTCAAATAATTTTCCTTTTCAACTTAAATATTAACTGTAGCCTAGACTTTTTATTTGTTTATATCTTGCCTTTTTAGCTTTGGATTCACCCCACCCCCCCCACCACCAAGCCTCTTTTTTTTTTAATTATTTTTTCAAATGTTTTTTGTTTTGATTAAACCCCAGCCTTAAAAGCTCTAAATCACTTCTCTCTTCCCTTTTCCCAAACTACATACCCAACTTTACCTCCTAACTCACTTATATATGTCATTTATTACCGAAAGTTTGTCGGCATCCGGCGGGACCCAACAACTATTGGTAAAGTTCTCCACGAATAGTGCCCCCGTCATCTTCAAATCCTGAGTCCGCCTCTGTTGATTCCTTGTTTTCTTCATTTGAGTACTGAATCAATACATATATATTGAGAAAGACATTGTACTTCAAACCATTGTGAAGTTTCCATCTAATATTTTCAAAGTTTTTCCTCCTAAATAATACTCCTCGACCTTTTTATTAGCTGACTTCTAATTTCCCGTAGGGGTTTTGGACAATATTAGAGTTATAAAATGAACAGGGCGGCTTAAGGGTCAAGCAGGTAAACTAGTGCTTAGGGCCCCTTGTTTGAGGGGTCCCAAAATTTCTTAACCATTAATATATTTATCAATTTTTTTAACAATATTAAATATTTAAAAAGATAAAAAGCTGAAATTTTCAAGAAAGGGGCCGTTTGGCAATGGAATAATTTTGACATCCATGCAGGCATGGCAATTTCACTATCTTGTGTCATAATGCAGTATTATTATTATTATAAATGGGCCCACATTTTTTTTTATCTCTTTTTAACTTCTTCTCTCTACTACTATTCATTTGGTTTCTCTGCATTTCAATCTCATTTATCACTAATAGAGCAGAAACACTACACAAGTACCATCTTTTTATTTGTTCTCAAGACTCAAGGTCAAGTATATTGACGTTATATCAAGAATTTTGAAGTAGCAAAAGCTTATTAAGTTATCTATTTGTTGAATCAGGTTTGATTGTTCTACATTTTATTATTTGCATCTATTTTTAAAAATTTTTAATATATTTTCTTTGTAAATTGTAAGTATAGATTGTCTTTTTAGTTATTTATTAAAGTTTTGTTTTAATACGTCAACTATAAAATATGAATCTGAGTGTTTAAAACGTCAAAAAAGAAGAAGGATTGAAACTCTAATACAATTCCAAAAAGGAGCACTTGATAAATTTGTCAACTAGAAAATATGAATCTGGGTCTCTTGAAGAATCTTTTAGAATTGATTACTTCTTATACATAGTAGACCAAACTATTTTTCCACTTCAAATTAGATTTGAGCAATTTCAAGCTTATGAAAATATTTTTTGTTTCCTATTTAGTGGCAAAAATTGAGATCTCTAGATGATGAGAACTTAAAGAAAAATTGTCTTAACCTTGAGTGCTCTTTGAAACATAATAGTCTCTGTGATATTGATGGTTTAGACTTATTTACTGAATTAAAAGTTTTAAGGGAAATAATACACGTAGAAGATGATACTTTAATCGACATGCTTAATCGATTATAAACAAATTATTAATAATTTCGCGTCTCAAAAAGCTAGAAAAATAAATTTCAAATAAAATTATGAGTTTTCTTCTACAACAAAAATTTAGGGCCCCTCATTGAAGTTTGGCTTTAGGCCACAAATATCATTGAGCCGACCCTGAAAATGAAGAAAAGCATTTGAAGCTGAAGGTTAAGAGAAAAAGTTTTTCGGAAGTTCAATCTGTAATTTGATATGAACTTCTCCCGGAAAAAGTTATACGTAAAACCTTAAAGGGTAAGGGCCGGACCACAAGGGTTTATTGTACTCAGCCTTACCTGCATTTTTGCAAGAGGCTGTTTGCACGGCTTTAACCCATGACCTCCTGGTCACATGACAACAACTTTACCAGTTACGGCAAAGCTCCCCTTCAAGGTAAAAACTTGCAAGTAAAAAAAACTTCTATAATAACATTTTAATGTTTACTCGAACTTCACATACTCAAATAAGATTTATGTCTTAGAGGGATTTGGACAATATTTGGTTGAAGCTTAAGACTTAAGAGCATCTGAAGTTGAAGTTGAAAAAAAGCTCTACAACTTAATATGATTTTTACTTGAAAAAAATATTAAAGATCAGTTAGTGAACAATTTTTTCACTTGAGATACTTTTAAAAATAAGTTTTTCAATATTTGACTAGTATTACAAAAGCTAATGGTCAAACTAGTTTTTGCCCAGAGAATGCCGTTTGGACAATTTTTAATTTATGTTGGAAAAAAGTTGTAGGTGAAGTTAAGAAAGTGCAATATTTAAAGGTAGAAATATAATTGACCGCAAATTTCTTTGTTTGTTTAATGCTACTGCCTGGTATGATCCAAAACATGTACTTATATCTTTAATTTCTCAAAGGATCTGTCTTTTGTCCGATTTACGCAAAGGAGCAATTTTTACTACTGATGAGTGATGATTACCTTTCTTGTCTTACCTTGCACTTTATACCTGTTTGAGATTCAATTCAAACTTTTGTTCAAAACTCAAATAATTCTTCTCTATTAATTGCACTCAAAACAATACAACTGCTTTAATCTAATCTGTGAATATGCTGGTCTAATTCTAAGATAGATGGTGAAATTAGTTGCAGCTTTTGGCACCATGTTGACCTTGTTATCTATCAAAATGAGCAACAAAGAAATTCTAGGAAAAGGGGGACAAATGCAGTAGAGCAATAAAAGAAGTAGCCCCAAATGCGGGGAACAATTAAAGTGATTTCTTAGGGCTCTGAATTTTGTATTATGTTGGTCTTGTTGCAGTCGTCAACAGACAGGAAGATCTACTGGAGGAGCCTCCAATGATTCCACTTCACTAATTCCGTTTTCCACAAGGAACGCCATCGCCAAACCCCAGCCGATGTGAACATCCAAGTGACAATGCATTAGCCACACTCCTGTTTAAGTCAAATATTGCAAGTTAATTTGTAGCAGCGAAATATGACATGGTATAGAAAAAAGTTGGGAATATTTGGAGATTTCAGTACTGGTTTCCCTATATCTATTCTCTTACCTGGATTGTCAGCGACAAATCTGATAACTGCCCATCCATTAACGGGTACACTGGCCGTATTTCTGAGAGGTGGATCAACTATGTTGAATTTAGTTGCATCTCTCTTTGGATTAAAGTTACCGAAACCCTCTGCAATTATGTAAAAATCATATCCATGCAGATGAATTGGGTGGTTCTCAGCTGTAAAGATGCTTGTCCCCTGTAACACAACCTGCACTCTTGCGCCATATTTCAGCTTGTACAGCTTTGTTCCTCGAATAGGTTGCCAGAGTGATCGGCTTACATTACCCGTGTAATCAAATTTTACAGGTGGTTTTGCTGGGAAATCAGTTGAGAAGACACCAGGTATGCCTTGGTGATGCGCTTGCAGCAGGGAAAAGTTGGATGGTAGCACAAAAGAAACATTGTTCATACTGGCAGTGAATCGAGTTCCATTTGGACCTTGACAATTACTCGAGCTTGCACCTCTTGGGCAGTTATCGAGTCCTAGCCCGACTGTGAAGAATAGATTTTCATCAATTTCCTTAGGCACCTCGACCTTTCTTGGGCTTCTGAATTTGGTTGTGAAGGCCGTTGCAGTGACTGTGTCGTTATATGCCGGTAAAGATGGGAAAACTGCATTGGTCTTGGCACAATTGGAAGAACAAGAAGCTGTCTTGTACTCAAGGATGGCAGTGGTTGTGGTATTATCAAAGGGCGCGCCTTGAGCGCTAGCATAGGCACGTGCTGCCATGTAGTATTTGGCTGGTTGCTGATCAGCTTTGATCAGCACATCAGTTGTCTGGCCTGGTCCGAGCATAAGCACTGATGTTGTGAAGGATTTAACATAAGAGGCATCTGCCCCAACAACAGTAAGTTTGTGGTTGGCCACGGAAAAGAAAAGTTGTTGGTTGAGTGCAGCGTTGATAACTCGGAGGAGGTTGGTTTCGCCTGAGTCCACATGGACTATGGTAGTATCTGCATAAATGTGATTTCTATGAAAACATGTCCTGATCATGTCAGGTAAATAATCATTTCGTAAAACTTAGAAATTGGTGTTTGAACATAATGCTTTAACTTTGTTGGGGGAATTTCTAGAGTAGTCTTGACTTTATGTATAAAAAAATAATGTAGATACCACCTATATTGGTCTTCTTAACTTCTGAGGCATGTTTTTTTTACAACTGTTACAGACATTCTGGGGATCAGAACTAACCTTGACTGGAACACTTGTAGAGGTCACCTGGTTGACCATTAATGGTGTATGCATCTGATACATTAGGAGCTGCTCCTGTTCTTGTCGCTTGTCTTATAACGTCAATAGGATTTGCATCCCACCACTCACCTAATCAGCATTTACAAACTTTCATTTCAAGGAATTTTCTTAGGAACAACAGGTTATGATGTTTCAGGAGAAACTGCATAACTCTTATAGTAGTATTCATTTAAAAAATGATTAAGGCTTCTGGTAATTAGAGAAGGAAGTAGTACCTAGCAGAATTGGTGTTTCTCTTTTGGGCTTAGCAAATGGATATGAGCCTCCGTCTTTGGGGTGGATAATTAGAGCTCCATAAACAGTGGCCCTGAGCCACGAGCTATGAGCGTGCCACCAAAGAGTCCCTTCCTGTCCTTGAATGGTAAACCGGTAGGTGTAACTCTTTCCTGGTCTAATTGGGCACTGAGTGATAAATTCTGGTCCATCTGCCCATCCTGTCCTCATTTGCCTTACTCCATGCCTTTTGGAATATAAGAATGAAAAAAAAGAAAGAAGAAGAATAGTCATACTAATATGAAATAAAATCATTTGTAATTCATTCTGCATTGCATGCATGAACTTACCAGTGAATGGTGACATTGTATCGAGCTCTATTGACAACTTTGACAACTAGAGTATCCCCATTGTTTACTTCTAATGTTGGTCCAGGGAATTGTCCATTCACCGTTATGGTGTTGTGAGTCTTGCACAGCCTCTTCACTGGTGTTGCTTGAATCTGTTACGAAAAAACAGAGGTCAGTATCGTAGAGTTTGTAATATTTGCGAAATGTTAGCAAATTTAATGAATGGAAATCTTGGATAGCTTACAACAAAATCATGGTGGTGAGTTTTGCCAGATGCTGCATTTGCCAAGAGAAGCAAAATGCAGATAAAGAAGAAAGAACTCAAAGGGTTGGCAATGCTGTTGAAGGGCTCCATTGTTTTCCTTTTCTTAAAACTCGCGGTCGAGTATTCGTAGATACAAGACAGTGTTTGTTTGTGAAAGATTGGAGAGTTGAGGCTATGCTTTTATAGGGAGAGAAGTTGTGTGAGGCAAGTCTTAGTTCAACTTTGTAAAGCAGTTGGTTCACCCACTTACCCTATCTCTAACTGCAGTAATTTTCATGAATAATGCTTATATTACAAGTCTTTTTCTGAGTTTGTTATATTCTCAATTTTCAAGGAAACATCATTTTTATGGTTTTTGCTTAACATTAACGATGTGCTTTTTATCCAACAAACCAAAGTTTGTTTTTATTATTACATACCATGTATCTTCCTCTATCACAAATTGAAGGGAATTTCTACTCTTTGTTAATCTTAAATGCTCACCAAAAATGGTGAAACAATCACCTTAAACAAAGCAGGAAATGATATACATATACATCTCGAAAAAAGAAAAGAAAAAAAAAAGAAGTTGAAAAGATGAAAAGTGGACATACGAATAATTTACTTGAAATATTATTTTGTTGTTTAATTAACTAATGCCATCAAATTTCTACTATTAGCTAAATTTCTTGTCGTAAGAAGAAGTGACTATGTGGTTATGTTTCAAATCCAAAGAATCTATAGCTGTAGATCAAGAATTAGTTAAAACGCAAAAATCTATTGGGTCATAGAAGTCATAGGTTGGTGTCGCACGACAAGATCTTTACCAATATTAGATAAAAGAAATAAAATTAGATGGTTAGGCTTATTAAATCAAGACTGCATATTTGTTTTTCTTTTAATTGGACTTTACTAGTGCTCGTAAATAATGTTGAAGGAGAAGATCAAGTACGTTAATTTCCCTTTCTCTCTTCAAGCCTTTAGCCTTTATTTAGTACCTATGCTGGTGAGAGCTTTGCATGTAGAAATTACTTGAGGTATAAGCAAGTTGACGGGAATGGAATCTTGCACCGCTTCATCATATTGCAATTGCTATTAAAGAGTAAAATCAAGGTATATGAAAAGGAAGCCTTGGACCAACGGTAAAATTTTCTCTGTGTGATCTATAAATCACGGGCTTGAGTCATGAAATCAGCAACTGATACTTGCATTAATGTAGTCTGCCTATATCACACCCTCTTGAGGTGCGATCCTTTATCAGACCCTACGTAAATGCGGGATGCTTTCGTACCTGGCTGCCCTAGTAAAATCAAAGTATATGCTACTAAACCAAATTAATGCATGAAGTCTAGTGGATGAAGTTGATGGCAAAAGTCTTCTTCAGTTTGTTGTGCCTATTAAATCAGTCTGTTATAATTTTTATTGGTTCTAAATTCTAAAATTAGTTAGAGAAAACCTCGAACGACAAGCTGATGTCCTTAAGTGGGTGGTCTGTCAAAAAAAATATTCCCCCATTCTTTGACTTCTCCCATTCTCTTTATTTATCTTTTTTGGGAACAATTGAAAAGGAAAAAGTCTAAGACGTACTTACGTACGTAAGGTCAAAAATACTGCTTATTCAGAGTCCACGTGTTATTATTTTATTCTTTTTGTTTTCTAGAAGTAGATAACTTTCAATTTTTTTAATTTATAAGAACATTTGTAACTCTAAGACTATATTGATACGGCGTTATCAAGGATGTGACCTATTGGTCAATGAATTGAGTAGAATCTTTAAACCAGAGGCGGATCTACCCTTAGAATAGGGGGGTTATCGCTCTCCGGTAATTTGAATATATATATATATATA